CCAGGGGAACTAAGTACTCTGCTTCTTTTATTCGTGATAGAAGACAAATACCCAGTCTTTCTGTGCCTGCTGTGATCTTCCAAAAGAGGGAGGGCGGAGAGAGGGAGTCACTCTAGAGACAGACATAGAGACCTTCGAACCGTTGGTGAAGCCAGACTCCAGGAGCAGGGGACCTTGGGAAAGTGCCACTTATAAAATGGGTCCTCCTGGGTGTGCACCATGCTCCCAGACAACACAGCTCTCCTTGAAGCTGCCGTGTTCCTAATGACGTCGCCCCTGAACCCCAGGTGATTGGAGCGAGGAGGAGCCTGTGACCTTTCTTTGGGTTTTATAGATGTGAGGGAAAGTCCTCTTATGGTAGAGAAGGCTTAAAATAAAACAACCTGGGAGCCATCGACTGCCATGTTTTCTGCCACTGGAGCAACACGTCTCAGTCAGCACTGAGAGAATGAGGCCAACACATGCATGCATACATGTGAACGTGTGTGGATGAGAGTGGGTTCCAGAAGTGCCCGTGCCCCAGTTCTTGGTGCTCTAAGCCCAGGTGCATTTCTGTTCTCCCCGCATTTTGGTTGATCAACCCATCCTTGGATTCCAGGAGCCAAGAGATGACAGTTTTGCCTGAACTGGATTATGTTGGGATTCTTTCCTCTTAGAACAAAAAGAGTAACAGGGAGAGTCAAAGACCTTTGCCTGACAAAGAAATGCTGCTGGGGGCTGGGGGACTGGAGGAGGAGAAGCAGCTGGGCAGGGGCCGGACGGGCAGAGCCCCTCAGGGCCACGGGTCTCAGGGGGACAATGAGGCAGATGGGAGGTGACAGCACAGGCCCTCTGTCAGCTGCTGGTGGATTTATCACCTCTGGGGTACACCCTTTCCCTCCCTCCTTCTTTTTAGCTTTTGCCCCAGCCAGGACGTGTCTCACAAGCTAGTGGCTGTGGTCCTGTCAGTAAAGGTCCCGGGTCACCCTGGGGCCACTCCTACCATTCAGTCTATACCCCAGTGTGGCCAGCTGTCTGCTCCTCCTTCCCTTCTTTCTGTGGTCCTGTCCCATCCATCTCCCTATGGGGGCCAGTGAATCCCTTCCTGATCAGACCTAAGTGGGCTCCTCAGAAGGCAGCTGGAGGTCAGAGAAGATGGGTCTTCAAAAAGGGGACGCAGGAACCCATAGTGCCCAGGGAGGGAGCCAGCAGATCACTACCTGCCCTCTCGCCGGCCCCGCAGCAGGGGCACATGGAGACACCCCACCCCCCAGACCACATGGTCGGCACAGGCGAGATGGCAAAGCCAGTGGGGGCAAGTTGGGTTTTCCTCCAGAAAGGGCCATGGCAAGCAGCTCTGCCAGCCAGGCACGTCGCTTGTCCCCACTGTGAGGACACTGGAAAAGCTGACCACATCAGTAATTACAGGAGCCGGAGGAGGCGAGACCTCAGAGCATCTCTGACTTCATCTTCCTGCCAGGGCAGCAGAGGGTCTCCCGGGGGAGGGAGGTGACGTGACATCTGAAGCCAGCCAGAGGCCGAGAGGAATCCGACCCAGACTCTCTGCTCTTCGAACCAGTTTCTCTGGACACACGGCAGGTCCCTTTTTACCAGCTTGCAACTTTTACGTTTTAAACAATCATCTGAGGGAAATACGTCTTAAGAGAGCAGACGCCTTTTCACCAGCATTTCCTGAGGCTGATGGCGCTGTTAGAACCTGCCAAGGGGATGAAATAGTAGGATTGTAAACAAGGGTGTACACAGGTGTTTGTGCTCCTTGGCAGCTGCAGGTACATAAATAATTCTTTTTGCCTTAAACTCAGTGTAGTTTATGCTCTTTGTGTTAGGGCAGCGTCTCCTCCTCCAAGGCTGTTCCTGTGCTTGGCATGAGTCACCGAGCCAAGCGCAGGCTCATTGGATGGCCTCCCTCGGCGAGCACCTCGGGCAGAGAACTCCCCTCCGAGAGGATTGGCACAGGCGCCCTTTGCTGCTCTGGCTGTTCAGGTTGAGCTCCGGGCAGCAGAAGGTTTTGAATGGGCGTTCCAGCAGAGGGGACAGTATGTGTCCCCTCTGTTGAGGGTGGGGACAGACCCCACCACCCTCTCTGTTAGGAGGGCGCTCTCTGACAGAGGGAGGTCACAGGGCCATGCCTTGCATGTGGCTTACCTCTCTTGTCATTAAAGCCATTGTGTAGCTGCCACTTCCCAAGCCAGCTCTAATTGTAACATCCTGGGTTGGTGGCCCAGCCTCTTCTTGGCTGCTTACGTTTTCTGGTTGAAGCTGATCTCAGCAGCTCTTGCCCACGACCTGGGTAAGTGTGGTCCCCCAGTTGTGGGTTTCCAGGTGGTCCCCACCTCAGGGAGTGTGACCAGCCTGAGCTCTGCTCACCCCGCTGGGCTGCCATCGTGCCTCCTCTCTGCAGGTGGCCTCTCGGGACATGTCTCCCATGAGCCCCTCTTGGGGGACCACTGTGGAGACATGGCCTGTCACTCCAGGTGACTTAATCAGGGTAGAAAGCCCGGCTGGAAGCTGTCTGTTGGTTGTCTGCCTCCCAACACAAATGCTCTTCAAGTGGTGGTGACCTGATGTGGACTCTCAAAGAAAGGCCTTTTGATCCCCGGCCGGGATGCCTGTCCCCGCGTGCTCCCGGCTGCCTCCCTGTGGAGCTGTGGCGCCCAGCCACCCAGCCAGGCCTCTGCTGGGAGGCAGCTGACCTGAAAGTGATGTTATTTTCTTTTAACCTGAGTTTTAATACCTAGAGCAATAATATTTTCAGCTGGTCATTGAGGCTGATTAGTGAGTCTGAGGCCTCCGTTTGGTTAAATAGAGCTGCCTTCACAGATATATTTTGGGACGGTGCAAATCCAGGATTCTGCATGGGCTCGAGTTACCCCAAGAGGTGGTCTGGGCCTTGCAAAGCAGCCTGGGTACGTTCGCAGGGCGCCAGACCACGGGGCGGGATGTCAGGACAGCGGACACTGGGTGCTTCTCTCCTTACTCAGGGGAGAGGGTGGTCGGCTGTGCTGTGGCCTCCGCCCCCAGCCCTGTGGCTCGCTGGCTCTGCAGCGTTTGAACTGGTCATGTTTGGTTTCTGAGAGTTTCTGTTCCTTCGTCTGTAAATTGGGACTCATAATACCTGCCTTGCAGGGTGAGTCTGTAATCTACCCCATGCTGGGTGGAGGTGTGTGCTCGTGTATGTATCAGTTTTGGGGGATTGTTGGGGAGCATTGAGGGAGAATATAGCAGGAAGAAAGAGCTACCTTCTCTCCTTAAATGGTCTCAAGACATCACAAATCAAATAATCAAGAAGTGACCGATCCTATAAGGCCCATCCTAATGGCGGGGAGGCAAGGGCCTTTGGAGGGAGGGGTGCGGAGGTGGGGGGCGGGGGCCCCGCGAAGGTCAGGAGGCCTGCGCTTCTGCGCTGGCTCGGCCTCAACCAGCGGTGTGGCCTTAGGCCGGTCCTTCGCTTCCGTGAGCCCCGGCGTCCAGCTCTGTAAAGTCAGTGGTTAGGTTCCTTCCCGAACCACCATCCCGCAGTCCTGTGATTCAAGTGGTCATAGCTTCAGTGTTTCTTCCTTGGAGAAAACCGTGGAGTCTTGATTCTCCACTAGAAGAAAAAGGTGATAAAAGGAAGCTCACTTGCCTTGGATGGAAACAGGCCTGGCTGCCTCTGTGGACACTGCAAGCACCACCCGCGCTTCCCCTTTTCCAGGAGGGTCTTACAGGACGGCCTGTCTCGACTGGGTTGAGAGGCTGCCTTGAGCCAGGCGGAAGGCGTGGGGCACCTACTTCCACAGTGAGACAGAGGGCGAAGGCGTGTCGATCGGTCTGTGCCGATGTCACTGTCTTTGTCTCTTTTGAAATAGCTATACTTTTGGACCGAGGCTGGCAAACCCTTGGATGGTAGATGTTGAAGTTCCCTTGTGTAAATGAGAAAGGCACACTTGCTTACCCAGGCGTCTTGTGGAGTCCAGATCTTTCCTCCACTTGGCGAGTGTGGCAGGTGTTGGGAAAGGAGCCCGTCTTGGGTCAAGGGAAATGAAAAAGCCTGCCTTCCTGAGGCCTCGCCCCTTTAGGGCTAGACCCCGCTGGCTGAGTCTCCGACCTGGAATCCTGAATTCATCGCTGCTGTCGAGGAAGAGCTCTGGGCTTGGAGGTCCAAGTTCCAGCCCTGCCACCTCCTCTGAGGACCCCCACCCTGCCCTTCACACACAGATGAGGGGGTGTAATGGTAGCCCCCACCGCCCTCCCATGTCGCTACCTGGGCTCTTTTGAGGTTCGGGTAAGAGCGTCTGAAAATCTCTGTATGTTCACTTTGTGAGCTGAAAATCTGCAAAAAGTAAGGCATCCCCATGATTGTCTTCTCTTGTAAGGTGTCATAACAACAATGGTAACCAGTACAGCAACTGTTAATTGAGTATTTATTACGTGCCCAGCTCTGGGCTAAGTGAGAGCTTTACTAAGTTCTAGCTGCACAATCACCCTACAAGTCAGTGCTTTCTCCACATGCATTTTATAAAGGTTAAGGAAATTGTCTAAGGTCATGCAGCTTGTAACCTGCCTGACCTAACGCAGCTTCTTGGGGGTGGGCCTTCCAGTTTGGCGGCTTGTTATTTTCCAGTGTCTTCCTTTGACTTATCTTTGCTGGTGGTTCTCAGCCCCAGCTTCCTGGTACCTCAACATCTCAACCCCGGCTGCCTGCATGCCCAGCCCTCGTCCCCAGAAGGTCTGACTTGAGGTGGGGCGGGGTGGGGCCCGAGCACTGCCGTTTGCTCCCCAGGGATCCTGATGTGCAGCCGGAAGGAAAGCCACTGTCCTAGGCACGTGTCTACGAAGGTGCAGCGTAGGCTGGACGGGATGTCTGGTCTTCCGCCCTCTCTGGGCCTCACTCCCTGCCCTGTAGGAGGAGGGGACTAGTCAGGTTACCTCCAGGGCGTCTTCTCCGGGGACCTCGAAAGTTCTGCAAGTATAAGGAGCTCAGAAGCAAATCTTTTATTCTTTTCCTTCTTCTCTTTTAGGCAGAATATGAAGTTACTCCAGATGAAAAACTGGGAGAAAAAGGGAAGGAAATTATGACCAAGTACCTCACCCCAAAGGTAAGAGGCACCCAAGCCCCCCAGCAGGAGTGGGGGCCTGATGTGGGAATATGGGCTCCCAGGTCTGCGCCAGGCTGTGCAGGCAGCTGGGAAGCTCTGCACTGGTGGCTGCCATTGGTCTCAGAGGGCCAGAATCCCCATCCTTCCCCAGAGTGCCCACGCCGGACAGGGCCGAGACAGGCGGTCCAGGCCAGGCCAGCAGGGGGACCACGAGGGGTCGGTGTGGTGCAGAAGCGTTCGGGGGTGATGGGAGGTGCAGGGGGTGGCACAGGCTGTGTTGGCAGAGGTGATGTTGGTGGAACACGGAACAGTGCACCGTGTTCTGAAGCTGGTTCTGGAGTGTACTGAGGGTGAAGGGCCGTCCCGCCCCCTCGGGAGCACCCCATCGTGGCTGAAGGGAGAGAGGGACGGCCCCTTGCCCGCCTTCCAACCCTCCCCGCCTGCCCCTGCCCTCCAGGATCCTGGTGGCGTTGCTTCCCTGGAACTTGTGTCTTCTTACCCCCAGCTTGACGGATAAATGTGTTCTCCATCCATGTCAAAGAGCCTGGCCTGGGAGCCAGGGGTTCTAATCCCAGCTCTTTTACCCACGCAGTCATATTCCCTCACTGGGCCTCAGTCTCCCTTTCTTAAAAGTGGCCCTCCCAGCCCGACCCGCTTCCTGGAGGCCCTGAGAGCCTGAGATGAGACCTGCATGCAAACAGCTTCGCGTGTGTCCTGCACCCCTATGGGCCAACGGTGGTTCCCTCCTCACTCAGGACCTGCACCCCATGGGCTCCAGCCCTCTAGGAAGGTGCTCCTCCTGCCCCAGGCTGCGGGTGGATTAAAGTCACCATATCCCACATCCTGTGTGATGGGGTCCTGGCTGTCCGTCCACCCACACACAGCATGGAAGGGGTGGCAACACCCAGGCCTGTAGGTCAGGAGACGGCCCCGCCCCTAACTTACCATGAAACCTTGATCTTCCCCTGCCCGGGCCTCCATGGCCTTTGCTGTAAAAGGGGCGAGGCTTGGCCACATGATCTCGGAGGTCCCTGCAAACTGGACGACCACAGACTCTCTCTCTGCCGAGGCCACACTGAGGGAGTGACGGGTGATTCCCAACAGGAACCAAACAATGGGAAGCCCACGGTGGGAGACGCTTCTCAGCAGGGAGAGATGTGTGTTGGCAGTGAGACATAGAGACTCCCAGGATGTGACTGACACTTAGCCCCTGAGGAAGGGCAACTCCAACCCAGCTAAGAGTTTGCATGAGTCGGTTTTTACTGAGCTCGATTCAAAAGGCCCTGCCTGCCTGCCTGCCCCTCGGGGGCGGTAACCCCTATGGCCTGTGTCCCCCGGTGGTTGCACTGGGGAGGGAGGCACGGAAGCCAGTGCTGCAGTTCCCTGGGCGGGCGTCCACCCCGGAGCAGGTGGGGTTGTGGTCGGAAGGATCCAGGTCACGGGCAGCAGCCCCTCCCGCCGCAGCCGGGCTGCCGGAAGCCTGCACCCTGGTGAAGGCATCCAGGTGACACGAGGGGCTGACCCACGGCAGCTCCTCCACCCCGGTGGGTGTAAGAAGGGTGGCTCGCTGGCCGAGCGCCTGCAGGAGCTAGCCGTGGCCCGGCTGCTCCTGTGATGGCCCTCGCGTCGGGGAGACGACAGACAGACAATCCTGCTCACAGGTGGCACGGCCCAGGGGAGGGGACCTGCACCAGGCGCAGCTGGCGGGCCTTCGGCCGCCCCCGGCGAAGCTGGTTTCCACAGCGGCTCAGCGATGCCCGCCCAGCTCTGCACCCCCCTCTTCGGGGCTGCGCACCTGCTTGGGTCCCCTCCAGACAATGGCCACTGTCATGAATTCAGGACCCGTTCTGTGCTGGCACCGTCTCACCTAGGCCTCGTTGTTACCGTGTGACGGGATTCTGTTGGCTCCACCTTAGAGGCGAGCGTGGGAGGCCCAGGAGGGACTGTCACTGTCCCAGGTCTCACACCTGGGACCGAGCCCAGGTAGGGGTGACCAGGAGCCCTGTGTCCCCTGCGGTGCCCTGCCTCCCACCCCCGCCCCCTCGCTGCTCACTGCCCCCGTGCTGCGGGTCTGCGGCCCGGCCCATCTCCGTGAGGTGAGGTGGATCTTTGCCCGGCCTCACCGGCCTGTCTGCCTACCCACGGGCTGCCGCAGGGCTGCTGCTTCCCTTGCTCCCGGCCTTGGCCCGCCTCGTCCTCAGGTCTCTGCTCGCAGACCCCCAGGCTGGGTCCTCCAGCCTCTGTGCCCTGCTCAGTGCTGGCGGGGAGGGGCCCAGCCTCCCCGTCCACTCAGATGGTTTTACAAGTGCCTCCAAGCTTGCCAACATTTTTTCCCAAATACTCCTCAGTTTTTAAAATTTAAACCACACCATATGTTGTGGCCCAGGGGCTGGGGGTGGTGGTCGATGGGGTCCCATGGGGCAACTGTTTTCCTACAATAAATTTTGCACTGCCTTCCCAGCCCTTCCTGTGGCCGCTCCCTCAGGAGCCTGCTTTCCTTCTCAGCCCTGCAAACGCCCCAGGTGCTGGGGCGCAAGGGGTTGGGAGAGTGGCCAAGGCCCCAGCACTGGCTGAGGCCTTGGGACAACCTTCAGAGCCATTGTCCCCAAGTCCTGATTGTCCTTACCCTGGGCCCTCTCAAGATGCAGCTCAGGTGTCTCGGCTCCAAGAACCATTTTCCAGAGGGTAGGCCATAGGAACCTGGTCGCTGGAGAGGCTCTGGGAAAAAAACACCCGTGTGGTCAATTATGTGTACATAACACTGCATGCGACATCTCCCCTCCTGAAGATTCAGGGGACCTGAGAGCACGTTAGGGGCTCTATGAGGTCCTGCAGTGAAGAAACCTGTATGACTGCTAACAAAATATTTCCCAGACTCATACGACCATAAAACCTTCTCTCCTTTTTCAAACTTCACATCCTGCTACACATCCCGGGGTCTGCCGACCGGGTCTCCTCCTGCTCCACATGCTTCCTCCCGGGACCGGCCGCAGCCCCACCCTGGCTCCACCATGCCCTTCCTCAGCCTCATCTGGACATCTGCACCTCACTGTCTTTGCCCAGGCTGTCCCCTGCACGGCCCCTCACCTGCAGGTGTGGCCGCCCCCACCGTCTTCCCCTCTGTGTCCCTGCCCAGCCCGGCACCTCCGGCCGCACAGCCTCCCCGCCTCCGGGCACAGCTCCTACCGGGGTCGTGCTGCGAGTGAGGCTCTGCTGCGTGTCCTCACGTCCACATGGCCAGCGCCTGCGTGGTTTGACGGCGGGTTCTGAGGAGCCCGCCTTGCAGGGGTGACAGCGTATCAACAGATCAGCCAGACACACTGTGACATAGCAGCGGTGGAACTGTGCAGGGGAGGTGGGGTGGGGCTCGGGAGACTCTGTCGCAGACCAGCCTGGGCGGGCGAGCCGGGGAGGCTTCTGGGAGGTGATGTGGCTGGACCAGAGACGAGGAGGAGGAATCAATGAAAGGAAAGAAGGGCCTTTCATGGGCAAAGGTTAGAGTTCTCACCTAGGGACATCACCCCCTCCAGGGGATGTCCCATTTGGCAGTGTCTGGAAATATATTTTTTAAAGATTTTATTTACTTATTTTTGGAGAGGGGAAGGGGGGAGGAGAGAGACAAACATCAGTGTGTGGTCACGTATCACACACCCTCTACTGGGGACCTGGCCTGCAACCCAGGCATGTGCCCTGACTGGGAATCGATCCAGCGACCCTTTGGTTTGCAAGCCAGCACTCAATCCCCTGAGCCACACCAGCCAGGGCTGGAGATATGTTTTATTGACACATGTGGTAGGATGTACTACTAACATGTAATGGATATGGGCCAGGGGTACTGCTGAACATCCGGCAGTGTACAGGGTGGCCCTGCAGCAAAGAATGAGCTGGCCTCAAATGCCCGTAGTGCTAAGGCTGAGAAACCCTGGTGCAGAGGTAGGAAAGGTGCAGGGTGGTCAGCTGTGTAGGAGAGGAAGGTAGAGGGATGGGCCCTCCGGGCAGCAGGGCCTGGAAAACCACATCAGGGGCTTTGACACCGTTCCAAGGGCAGTGGGAGCTACTGGGGCTCTGCTTGCCGTTTGCAGTTTAGGAGGAGGAGAAAGGAGACGGGGAGAGGCCGGAGGCAGGAGACCATCCAGGGACCTGAGCGTGGGGGTGGTCACTGAGTGGGTGCGGGCCCAAGAAGGACTGGCCACCCGGGATGGGGTCATTGCTATAGGCGGCAGGGTCACTGGCTCGTTGGGCGGAGGTAATGGCAGCTGCTCCCTCCGGGTGTCCCCAGCCCAGCACAGTGTGGACGCGAGGCTCTCGTTCATGGCCAGGTGGTTTGATGAAGGCAGTGAGGGGCCCTGGGGGGCTTCTACCGTGGGCTCTGTCCTCTCCTGCCTCATGTCTCTTTCTGGAGAACTGACACTTGGCTGGCTTGTGTCCCCCAGTGTCTGACTTGGGGTGTTTGCTGGGAGTCTGGCTGGAAAGTCCCCACTTAAAGTCCTAGTGTAAGCCCAACACTGAATTCTCGGCCCTCGTGGGGCGATGCTCTTCAAACCCACAAAGTCCCCTCCTTGGATGATGCCTGGAGCCCTGCGTCAGTTGCCCGTACACGGCCAGCTTTGCTCTGGGGTCTGGGGTGGGCTTTGGAATGGGCCGAAGGCTGTTGCGATCTGACACAGAGGCAGCAGAATGCTGCGAGAAGGTGCATTTTAGAACCAGGTAGACCTGGGTTGGCAGCCAGACTTGGCTCTGAGCTGTGTAGCCTCAGGATAGTCACTTAACCTCTCTGTGCCGCAGGCTACTCATTTGTCGCATGGGCAGGGCAGTGATGGGGGTCACAAATACCAGCAAGAGCAGAGCCCAGGAGCTGGTACATATTACACACTCACTCAGCATTGGCTGTCATCTGACGGTCCCCTCCCTTGTCTGCCCTTTCAAAATTAGGCTGTTGAATGAGGAAATCATTCAGACGTGAACGCCCGCTGTGGAGTTGTGAGAGGCCAAGCAGGGGT